GTTTGTGTTCTTTGGCTCTAATCAGATAAAGGTCAAACGAGGCAGTATGTCGGTCTTAATCAGTTCACACTCGCTGCCTCAGTGACTCAGAGTTGTTGGAGGAAGAGGATGCAGCTCCTGTACGATTGCATGGCACCATCATGAGTATGCTCTCTCTTTGCTAACTCAAAACAGTTGCCGTGTTCTTTACCTTGCCCACTGAACTGATGTCAGCTTTGAAAATGCTCAGTTGTTCTTAGTGAACATTGGGAGTTGCGGTTTATGGTTAATGGGTCTCACTGTAATCAAGTCCATGATGTAGACAAGCGACCAAGAGTTTGCAAATTTTGACCAGGTGTGTGTATTCTGTTGATTCTTTCTGCGTTCCTTTTTTCAGTTTTTTTTATTCATATTTTTATCGTCGTGTTCCCACTCCAGGCTTTGTACGCCTCATCACTGTGGGGATCCTGCTCTTTGAGCTGCACACCAGGGCTTCTTCCATTTCTTTCCACCTAATTATGTTGCGATGACAGTTTTCCTTTGTTTTTATCGAGGGTCTAGGTTTGGGCGCTGTTGTTTTTGTTTTCACTGACTAGATTACAATGTGAGCATTGTAAAACCTTTTACTGACTCAAACTTTGATTAGAAGAGACACAGATGAACTCGAGTCGACTTTTCCGACTTACAAAAGAATCTTTCATGTTGACTTGGACTTGATGTTGCTTGTAGATTAATATAACAAAACTGAGAATTTCCAGGCTTTAATAAAATCATAACTCTCCGCTTTGAACAAACTTTCCACAGTTGTCTTTCCTCCCATTGTCGCCCCCCCTCTCTCCCCCCATTCAGTGCATCTGTATTAGAGAGCTGCTAAGCTGTACTCCACACTTGGGCTTAAAATGGAGTGACTAAGCACAGATTTAATGTTGGACTTATAGCTACTTAGCAATGGAAAGCACAAACTGTCAGCTTTCCTCTGAAAAGTAAAAACTTGTCAAGTTAGCACCTCGGTTGGAGAGACAGCGAGATCCTTCTTGTGGCACTGGCACCTCTGTGACACTCAGCGGCACTCAGCGGCACTCTGTGGCACTCAGCAGCACTCAGCGGCACCCTGCGGCACTCTCTGGCACTCTCTGGCACTCTCTGGCTCCCTGTGGCACCCTGTGGCACCCTGTGGCACTCTCTGGCACTCTCTGGCACCCCGTGGCACCCCCTGGCACCCTCTGGCAGCTTGTGGCACCTACTGACATATACATATAAGCAGAGGAAGAGTGAAGATATTTTCAGACATGTATTTTTGGATTGGACATTTTATGGGTTTTAATTTAAAAAAAATATTTTTTATATATATACTTTTAAATGATAATAAAACGGATGATTTATTTTCATTATTTTAGCCGATTGTTGTAAATGACTATAAAAGTAATAATTTGGAAAGAGTGTATTATGTTCCCTTTTGTTGCAAAACCAGCAAAATCATACTTAAATAAAATGAATGAGAAACAAAAAAGTACAACTTAATTACTCTAAGGGTGCATACAGAGAACGGGTGGCTCCGGTGACTCAACTAAAATCATAAAACTGATTTACGGAAGCTGACCTGTTGTAACAACAATGTGTGTTCTCAGGAAATGTCTCAGGAAATGTGGCTCCGCTCCCTCAGCTCCGCAGCTTCTTGACGGGTGCCGAACTAGTACCGCTCGTTTGCCACAGCTGACGCTTGCCGCTGAAGTGCCACAGACTGCCGCGGAGTGCCACAGAGAGTGCCGCTGAGTGCCACAGAGTGCCACAGAGGTGCCAGTGCCACAAGAAGGATCTCGGCCCTGCACCTCGGTTGGTTGGCAACAATATAATGTAACCGCTCGCTCTCTAATAACCTGCTGACTGCTCGACTGCACCTACATCACTGATTCTATTTGTAGAGGTTTTTAGTGTGTGGGGGGGGTCAGTGTGTGTGTGTGTGCCAGACAAAAAAAGCCAGACAAAGCAGAGGAAGGAGGGATATGACGGTTGAGGAGATCCACGCTCTGCTGGCCGAATATAAAGGCTTATAAAGGCTACCAGTCAACATGGATGACCTATTTACGGTCAGACACACCGCTACACAAATGCACACCAGACAATGACCACAACCTCATTTATTTCCATTTTTTTAAGGGTTTTTTCTTGGCAACATGGTGTTTTTAATCGGGCTATCCTGTCTGTGTAAATCAGGTGAAACAACCGGTGTTTGAGACATCTGGCCATGGTCAGAGCAGGCTGATGCATGTGCGATTGGACGGGGATGTTGTTCCCAAACATCTGTTCATCAGGTCAGCTATCTAAAAATGTATTATTTTTAGCTCCCAGGCAGATTTTCCTACCATTCTTCTCCATCTCTCTGCCTGGACAGCTGGCCTGCTGCAGAATCTGTCGGGAATCTGCCACTGCTGTTGCCTCAACATCTGGCAAATGTTAATTTACAGTTTGTGGTGTTGATTTGGGGCCTCTTAGTGTGATTTTGTGTGTCTTGGCTGTCCAGATGCGGGAACAAGCTGCAAGACTTACCCTGAGCTCTGTTGAAGCAGAATAGAGAGGCAAGCTGCTGATGAAACCACCTGCTGCTACAATACTAGAACAGCTACATCCTGTGTTTGCCATGGGAGTGAAAGTAAAGGTGTGTATTTATCCGTCTGCACACTGGACTCCTCCGGGTCCATGGGTTTAATGGAGTGTGTGTGTGTGTCTGTGTTTTAAAGATTCCTGCCTGTCCTTGAGTCCAGCAGCGAGGACCTTGTCTGCCTCCACGGTGTCGGCTCACTGATTCATGCTGCAACTGCCACTGATCCGTAGGATGACTCTCACAGGGGGGGGCAGGCTGCATCCATCACATGGCCTAAGAGCTGGGCAGATGTTCACTGACACAGACACTATATTCACTCAGAATATAAGACACATGCATACTAACATACTAACACATGACATAAAACTAAGGATCCGCAAAATATGCAAACTTTGTGTATACGCGAAATGCTTTGATGTATACGACAAAGTTCAGACTCCAGGCAAATCTGATTTGTTTCTCAAATCAAATCTTTAAGACAGTCAGCACTGTTATTTGCAAGTGATCAGTATAGGCGTCACTAGCGACGCAGCAATGCTGCTGACGCGGCTTTCCAGCGAGGAAGCATTCGCTCGAGGAAACGATGGCACTGCCATGGTGCAGAACTCCGCCGTCACACCAGACAAACTCAGTGACAGAAGAGGTAAACATTGCGATGGGGAAGCAGCAGGAAGTAAAAGTGAAAGTGCCAGTAAACAGCATGGACTCTGCTCTGCACAGTGTAATCTAATTTGAGCAGCCAGAGCATAGAGACTGAGACGCATCTCTAGAAATCTGATTTGCAAAAATTGCATTTCATGTGTGTTTTTTAGCAGTCCAGACTTTCGAAAATTAATCTGGATATGCCAAAATACGGATTTGAGCTGGTAGTCTAAGCAAGGCCTTCTAGATTAGCAAGAGTTTCTGAGAAAGACACCAGAGTTTACCAGACATACTTAAGCACCCACAAATGATTGCATTAATTCAGACTGCCCAATGGTGGACTGTAAGGCAGACAAAGTAATTAGCTTTCTTACAAACTATGGTGGATGAAGTGAAGGTACAGTTAAGAGGAAAAGCTCACGTATATGATGTACTGTAGAAAATATATTAAACACAAAAATGCCTTAAAATAATTTTCAGTCTATGGCAGCTCATAGCGGTAACAGCATGGTCAATACATGTGGTCATGTGATGCAGAGAAGATATATTGCTTGAGTTAACTTCAGTGTGAACAGTCTGCTGGTAAAAGCATTTAATTCATTTAGTGTACATACAGATTGAGTATTCCATTTTGAAAACAGCATATTATTTGTCAGCATATTAGCATGGTAACATTTGCAAATTAACAATATACACCTGAAGAATGTTGACCTGAAGATAGCGCAAGGTGAAGTTCAGTGGTTAAAAGTTTTTACAAAACGTCCTCAGGGGACCATGAATGTCTGTGCCATATGTCATAGCAATGCATCTGACAGTTGCTGAGATATTTCACTCTGTTTATCTCAATAAGAAGCTCAAATTTAAATCTCATTCTGGCACTAGAGGAAAGGTCAGGTTATCATCAAAGTCCCCTTTGGGGACCACGAGTAGGGAAGTAAGAGGTGAGGAAATATTATCATGTCATTATCTAGCTGGTGCTGGGATGCAGATGCTAATTTTGTTCGATTTTTGTCTTATAAATAGCTCGTTATTTGGGAACACCTGTATACTCGTGTTTGTTTTTCAGATCGCTGTTACTCTCCTGGGCTTTGCTCCACGGAGACGCTGAGGTTTGCTGCTCTGTTGTTGTGGTCATGGGGAGTTGTTGCTGGTTGATAGTGCGAGACTGAGAACTGGGTCAGCCCCCCTCTGCCTGCGTTTTGTCTCAGCAAATGGAAAATTGCGCCAGATTTACAACCAGATCCTTCAGATATGGGATCTGTAAACAAAGTGTTTTTCAGATCTGTCAAAAAAATTGTGGGACTATCCACCCTGAGGCTCAGTAGATGAGACACACTTTCTCTGGGGTTTTACTGCGAGTTTGTATGTGTGTGATCATGTGTGAAAATATGAGTTTTGTGCATGTGTGCGAGGAATTTACGCCTGCCAACATTTAAATTTAGCTTTAATCCCATTTCATATTTGATCCAATTGATGCCAACACGTTGAAACAGTCAGACATGATTCGGCGTTCAAGAGGCTGTTTTCAAAATCCAACTTACTACAAAAGAGACTTGAGGCAAAGCCCAGCAAGGAGAGACTGGCAACTTACTCCTTGAACTGTTCGACTCACCCTCTAAACACCAACCCATATATTATTAATCTGTTTGACGCTTTCTTCTTCTACTGCCAGCATCAGAGGACATTTTAACATCATACTCCCTTGTGATGATGATGTATTCTCGCTTTTTTCACTTCATCTGTAAAAGAAACAAGCAAAGAGTAAAGTGTTTAACATCTGGGGTTTCTGGTGAGGATGATATCAAAAATTTTTACTCTTTCCACACAAGTTTTTCTCAAGTGTAAAAGTATCTCCACTTACTGCTAACTAGATGGGCACTGTGTCGTGTTCCAGATCTAATGCCAGGTGCTCTTTGACTGTCTCCGAGTTGAAAACATTGTGTGGGAGAGATGACAGGTTGCCTGAAGGAATGTTGAAGCACGAGTGATTCATCTCGTCGCTGCGCAAGGAGAACCAAAGTGATTTTTAATTCATACCCAGCAAAATGCCACGTCCTACGCACGCATGCATCAGCACATACCTGATCAAACACATTATGTGACTTGAGTACACAATGATTCAAACGCCTATATTGCTCTTCACATTTCATAGCGTGCATTGGCTTCCAGGGATAATGTGAATGATGACGAGATCAGTCTGTGTTTATGCTCGCTGATGATAAATTAATTGTGTTTGCCAAAATGGAGCAGACGGTCTCAGTGCTGCAAAGAGGAGCTGAGGAGGTGCAACGTACATGGATTCAGCTGAAGCAGGAAGCCTCACATGGCTCCTGGTGTCCCAGTTCTCCAACTCAAACCATAAATAAGACAAATTATCTTAAATATCTCACATGGAGCCGTGTTCCTGTCATGTGGTCTCGTCAGTTATATTTTAATGCCGTGTCGATGATATGTCTCGACAGCTTTCAATGCAATATTACTTTAACTACACGTAGATAATTCACAGCCGTGTTAATGTCATATTTATGAGAGATGATCATCTCCACATCCTCTTTCTATCATTCATTAATCTCATGTTTCCGGTTTCTCCACTCTCTCTCTCTTTGCTTCTCTCCTGTTAATTCCGTCCCTCTGTCTCATCTTGCAGGTGTATGGTGCGCTGACCCTGCCTTCAACAGGCGAGGAGTTGGAGGACCAGGGCCATGACTGGCTTTCCTGGCCCTGGTGGGCGTGCCTTAGTGCCATGGCCAAGGGTGCGGCCGTGGTTCCTGGTTGCTTCTTTGGTTGCCATAATAACCTTGACGCTGCCAGGAAATAGCCAGGCCTGTCCGCCACGGTGCGAGTGCTCGGCTCAGCTGAGGTCGGTGTCGTGCCAGCGGCGGCGGCTCACCAACATCCCAGAGGGCATCCCCACAGAGACGAAACTTCTGGACCTCAGCAAAAACCGGCTCCGCTGGGTGCAAGCAGGTGACCTGGCACCGTACCCACGGCTGGAGGAAGTAGACCTCAGTGAGAACCTCATCGCCACGCTGGAGCCCAATGCCTTCGCCACCCTCCAGAGTCTTAAAGTGCTGAAGTTAAGGGGAAACCAGCTGAAGTTAGTGCCCATGGGGGCTTTCGCCAAGCTGGGCAATCTGACCAGCCTAGACCTGAGCGAGAACAAGATGGTGATTTTATTGGACTACACCTTCCAGGATCTGAGGGGTCTGAAATATTTGGAGGTGGGAGACAACGACCTGGTTTATATCTCCCACAAGGTAGGCTGTCAGGCATTTTGTCTGTATCATCACTGTGTTACTGATGAAGAAGTGGATGGACGAACAATCAATTTATTTTAACAAATCCCAGGAAATGAGATCATAGTGGAATATACTCTGTGGTTCCAAATAAACAGTAATATGTAGTTCAACATTTGGAGGAATGGGCATGTTGGCTTTCTTGAAGAGAGTTAGATGAGGATCGATTCAACTCTCATATCACATTTAAATGTTAAACTATTTCTTTAACAAAGGAAAAGTGTTTGTCGGCATCTTTCGCAATACTCATGGTGCCACAAACTCCTAGAATTTCTTATTAGAAGCAAAATATACATGCAACACATGTATTTGGTCATATTATAATGGACTTTTCAGTTTTTGTGAACATACTGTCTTTCCACTGTTTTTTCAACAGCAAAATTGAACATTCTCTGCTGGCCATCATGCATACATGTCAATTAAGTAAATATATTTTATTTTAGGTTTCTAAGCCCTTTATCTTCCTGATTTCCAGGCATTCACAGGGCTGCTGGGGCTGGAAGATCTCACAATAGAGCGCTGCAACCTGACATCCATCTCCGGCCAGACCCTGTCGTACCTACGCAGCCTGGTCACCCTTCGCCTCTGTCACCTCAGCATCATTGCCCTGGAGGACCAGAACTTCCGCAAGCTCTCTAACATGCGGGGTCTGGAAATCGATCACTGGCCGTACCTGGAGTACATCTCCCCTCTTTGTTTCCAGGGCCTGGACCTCCACTGGCTCTCCATCACCAACACCAACATCACCTCTGTTCCCTCCGCTTCCTTCAAAAACCTGGTGCACCTCACCCACCTCAACCTGTCCTACAATCCCATCACCACACTAGAGCCCTGGGCCTTCAAGGACCTGCTGAGGCTGAAGGAGCTCATCATGGTAAGCACAGGGTTGATGACAGTGGAGCTCCATGCCCTCGGAGGCCTTCGACAGATCCGGGTCCTCAACTTCTCCTCCAACTACCTGCAGACTCTTGAAGAGGGCTCCTTCCACTCTGTTAACAGTATGGAGACCCTCAGAGTGGATGGGAACCCCCTGATGTGTGACTGCCGTCTGTTGTGGATCCTGCAGAGACGCAAGACCCTCAACTTTGACGGCAGAGTGCCAGTGTGTGCGGGGCCGGTGGAGGTGCAAGGGGTCAGCCTCAGCACCTTCACCGATTCTGCACTCTTCGATCACTTTACATGCCAGAAACCTAAGATACGCAACCGTAAGCTGCAGCAGGTAATGAAGATGACTGCATTTAGCTTTAATATTTAGCTAAACTTTGATAAATGCTTATTGTTTTATCATTGAGGTCACTCTAATTGCTTCTGCAAGCACAAAAAGTATTTTCTGTGATCTGCCAGATTTTGTTTTGCACACATATTCTCCTGAAATAATTGGTTTATGCACTCCTTTCCTCCACCTTTCACAGGTGGTCGCTCGTGAGGGCCAACCTGTGAGCTTTCTGTGTCGAGCTGAAGGAGAACCTGCACCTGCTATTATCTGGATTTCCCCACAGCGCAGACGGATCACAGCTAAAAGTTCCGGGCGCATTACTGTCCTCCCTAGTGGCACCCTGGAGATCCGCTATGCCCAGCTTACTGACAGCGGAACATACATCTGCATCGCCAGTAACGCCGGAGGCAATGACACCTACTTTGCTACACTCACAGTGCGTGGCCTGCCACTAGATGCCGCCTCAGCCTTCTTTCTCAACCGCTCGCTGTACAGCGGCGAGTTCTTCAACGACACAAATCTGAACAACACGCGCGTTTTCCTCAAGTTCACCTTGGACCTGACCACCATCTTGGTCTCCACGGCAATGGGTTGCATCACCTTCCTGGGGGTGGTCCTCTTCTGTTTCCTGCTGTTGTTCGTGTGGAGCCGGGGACGCGGCCAACGCAAGAACAACTTCACAGTGGAGTACTCCTTCCGGAAATCTGAACCCGTCACCGGCAGCACCACAGGAGGGACCAGGAAGTTCAACATGAAGATGATATGAAACAACGCAGCCAGGGGTCCCTCGGGGGAGGCATGAGCACGTCCCAAAAACGTGTTTGACACACGCAAACACACACAGCCACTGACTCACAAAGAAGTGTTAAAGCACAATATAAGTTCCTGTCTATTGGCTCTATTCAAAATTGAGTACCCACATCAAATGACACAATTTGCACCCAGATCTCTCTGCCTTTCAGTGGTTTTATTCAGCTTGTGGTAAAAAAAAAAACATGTTTAATTGATACTGTTAAGAACTACAGTATTGATAGATTTAAAGGAGCTAACTTGTCGTCCGTTCTTGACAAGAATAATAGAGTTAAGAATTATAGGAGATAAGTTTTGGAAATTGGCATGATTACTGTGCTGTGGGATACCGGTAGCCCTGTTTCTCTGTTACATTAATGAGATAATGAATTTAAATACTTAACTGTATTCTGTACAGTCAGGGATTTTAAGAGAAATGAGCTGCAGGGAGACCTGGCTACCATCCATTTATATAATTTGTGGCTTTGCTCTTCTAAAGTCTGCCCTGTTAAGAATCGTGCATGTAGAAATGCAGATGAGAGTTAAGTTGTGAGTTCATGACACCGAATAAAACAAATTGTTTTGAAAGACATTTTTGAATATGTTTTTCTATAGAACATATAAGAGCCTCGTTTATCTATTCTGACCACAGCTGAACAGTGAGAAGGGTTCTTCATTAGCATTATCTTATGTCAAGCTTAAAGGCTGTAAAATACGATCTGATGATCATATCTGATAAGAAGCGCTGGATTTGGACCATTCCCATAAATGACAAATAGACAAAAGATTCGGCCTCTTCTTCTTTGTGAGATTTTGCAACAACGTTAGCTGTGTGAGTTTGGGACGAGCGCACTGACCGAGAGCTGCCGTGGCTGCCCGCGGCCCGGGGGGTTTGGTTAGGAAGTCAAGCCCACCGGACACGGGCAGCCACTGCAACTATAGCAACCAACACATTAGAGAGCAATGGGGACCAGGCTGGTGGCCGCAGGAAGGTCGCTGGGTACCTACATCACAAGCCTCATCGATGCTCTTTCATCAACAAGAGAGGCTCAACCTGCCGGCCTCCACCGCTGTCCCTGCCCTCTGCTGTGTCGGTGGACGCCTGACCTTCCCAGCGCTGCCAGGGGGGAGCAGCCCGGAGTGTTGGGTCACACTCAGAGGCAGAGAGAGGACACACAGTACCACTGTCGGGGGTCTTCAAGTAGACACACTGTCATTCTAGGAAACACACATAGCAACATATGCATAGCACCTTTTCTCAGGAGAAGTGAAATAACTAGCCTACAGAGTGAGTGTAGCCAACACACATGCTCTGTTAAAATATTACATTCCAGCAATACTGTACGTAGAGCCATGAAGCCAAAATTCATTCTCCAAGAGAGAACTGTAAATGTTTGAGTGAAGAAACAAAGCCATAGTATGTGTAGGTTGTTTTTGTAGAGCGAGCCGTGTGCATGATTCAGTTATATGATAATAATTATTGCTACTGCCATCTTACAAGCTGGTGGGATGATCACAAGACCATCTGCTGTCACTGGGCTTGCATAGAGTTGCACCCCATAACACACACACACACACACACACACACACACACACACAGAAGTGGTAAAACCTCATCAAGGTTACGTTGATTTATAGGAACAACAATCACAGTTACACGTCAATGGACATACAAGTTGATGAAGCGCCACAGCAAAGTATGACGCTGCTCTCTCTCTGTCTCTGAGACGGTCGGTGTGCGAATGTCTCTGCCCCCCTAGCCCAGTGCATCCCCCCTCCTCACCCCCACCCCCCCTACACACCCCCACTGGGTCCTCCTTCGGGAGGGGTCCCTGGCTGGAGACCGAGGATTCAAAATGTAAATGAAGTACGTGTTAACCCTACCCACGCCATGTGGATCGTATAGTGGAGAGTAGTACTGTGGTTTAAAAAAAAAGAAAAAAAAAAAACTTTCTTTGAAGTCTTCTGTTGCTTCTTGTTTGTCCTCTATTTTAATTTCCTCAGTTGTTGTTCTCCGTGACCTTTTAACAGTTTACCGTTTTTAAAGTTCACCGTCCTCCGTGTGGGACTGTTCTGTTCTCAACACCTACTATTGTTCCCACACACTAGACCTTGTGCCTGTTCGCATCTCGGCGTGCATATCCACTGGAACCAGGACTAAAGAAACAAGACATCATCTAAAGCAGTGGTGGCTAATAGTGTCACAAATTAAATTGGAGTTGTCACCAGATGGTTGTCAGAATAAGAAAGAAGAAAACATAGGTCTGCTACACAAAGTTAAGTAATATTTAATATTTGTATCAACATTTATATACTGGATAGTTTTACCTTCTGGAGTCCATGCACCAGCTTTATAAATCCTTTTAAATGTTGATATCTATATATACCACCTTCCCGCTATGTGTATAACACTTTAGTTTCTGTCTGTGTGGTTCTAATCAGAGGCTGGTTTGCAGGATGGGAGTTGCATGGTGGCATAGCAATTGTCTTCTTTTGCAATTGTCTGGAGTGGTTGTGTGTGTGTGAGAAGACAGCTGCACTCTATGCGTAATTCTAACAAAATCATACGGAATGCAGAGCACCGGCAGTTAAGTTTAAAATATGTTTGCATCTTGAAACCAGTTGGTTGTTAATTGGAACCTATGAAGGACTCACAAACTCATTAAACTCATTGACGTGTGCAATATGTCATGAGGAGCATTGCTTCATTTTTAAGGGTCGTACTGTAAAGAGTTGGCAACCACCATCTAAAGAACATATAACACTGCAAGCTTAGGGTTTTGGGAAATAATTTACCCAGGTATGATAGAACCTCAAACTCTCAAAACGTTTGCCAAATAAATCCTGCAAACTCCATTTTTGTCCCTTGTGAGGGATGATGAAACCACGGCTTCTGTGTCAGGATGAATAACTCAACAGCTGTTAAAGATTCATGAGGCTGAATGAGAATAGATGAACAAATTGGCCTGGTTTTCCAACACCGCTCGTTAACAATGTCAGTGGCCATTTCTGTGTTGAGAACAGGACGTCGTCTTCACGGACGTCTCCTCTCCCTGCGCCGACCCCCTTTGTGTTTCCATTCCCTAGTATTTCTCGGTGAAAACTAGGTTTAGAAGACAGTGAGAATGTCTAGTGATTGTAGATGGCGTTATTGTGCAAACATCAATCACAAATGTAAGCGTAGATGAGGGCGTGTTTTGTTTTATTATCATCTTCTCCTTCTCCTCCCCCTCTCTCCCCCTTCCTCCTCCCCTCTTCCCTTTCCCTGTCTTCTTAACATTTCCAACCCTCGTTGTCCCTGTTCACAGTATTAGGCTGGATTATGGTTGTGCGGTAGTAGACACGTGTTCGTGTGGTCGGTGAGTCCGTGTTGTCGTGTTGTGATTTGTTGCTCCCTGTGATGCCATCGAACACGGAGCATTGATCGGATCAGTGGAGACAAAAGATGAAAGGGGTGACCCAGGTTCCCTAAAAAAAAAAAAAGAAGAAAAAAAACAGACATTGATTCCCATTTCACGCCCTACTCATTCCTGGAAAAAAAAGCACTTCTGGAACTTTCCCGCTCTGCACAGCGCGGCTCTGGGATCTTTCTCTGGATATGAAAACCCACAGACTGTGCTGTATGTGTTTTCTCTGATGATATATTGTCACACTTTAACTTACAAATGTAGAAAATGGGGTTGGATTGTTTTAATACTGTGACTATGAGCCTACACTCACTTTCTGCCTACTATGGTTCACTGAGTCATTTTGTCAAGGAAGCAGCTCATTCACTGAAAACAGACATCTTCAAGTTGTTCAGGGTTTGGATTTATTCAAAGGCCTTGAAAGCTAGAGGAAGCTTTAAAAATATATATCTTTCTTGTCCCCCCCTCACCTCTTTAATCTTCTGCCAGATATCCATTATCAAAGACTTTAGAAATACATGAAACATTTGAATTGATAGACACTTTGCCAAACAAATGTGCCAGTACACATACCATTGCCTCAGTCCGCCTGACAGATTCTCTGTGCTGCAGATACCGGTGGAGCTGGAGCTTGATTCATTTCCTCCGCTGTAACACTTGAGAAAGTAGGCTGAGCGATCCCCTCCTCCCTCCTCCGGTTCGCCCTTGCCTCGGGTTGATGTACTGTAGTCTAGAGACGCCCCAGTTATATCAGCAGCAACCTATTAGGATACCTTCCACTGGGTAACTCGTCAAAGACCCGGACACAATAAGACGAACCTTTAGACACCAATAGTCATGGCTTAATTATGAGCTAAACCTGAATTTTTTCAGTTTTTTTATTGTTTCTCAATAAGAGGACCAGTCTTAGCTGTTCTCTCACTATTTGACTAACAAGGCTGCATTTCTTTATGCATTTCCTTGGTTTCACCTTGTTTCTGACACCAGATTTGCTCTTGCATCCATCTGCTGCTCCAGATCCTACAGCTGCTGTTTCGATTGGATTATATCAGAGTTGAATTATCAGAGCTGAGAGGAGCCGCAATGGGATGACGAAGAAGTGAGCTCGACTGATTGGGTGATTACTGGGCTTATTAATCTCATTTCCATAACAGACCTCTCATGACAGTGTGCCATGCAGATGCTGGAGGCTGAATTCACGCTGGTATTTTAGCATTTTTACATATCTGTTAGATAGAAATATTACATATGGTAGTTTCCTCCAATTGGACAAATAGATGGTAATACAAAGCTGTCATTGTTATCTGACATGCAGGTTTAATTGGGCATGTCGCAGAGCATTGCTGAAGGATTTTAAAAGCACCTTGAGCTGACAACTGCTTCATCTTAACCTTGACCAGACAACTGCAACTGCCCCACTTTCTATATGGCAATACTGACCCCAGGTGGTCAATGTGAGTAACAGCAACACAATGGGACCATGACGCTGACGTACCAGTGTTATTGTCTGTGATGGGAAAATAAATCAAGCTCTTGGGTCTCATACAGTGAAACACTAAAGAGAGCACATTGACTGTTAGATTCATATGTCAGTGCTTCGCTGATTTTTCTTCCAGCCACAGCGGGACTTCCTCTCCGCTCTTGGGTGTCCGGAGCGATGTTTGCTCTCAGCTACCTGTGAGGAGTTATGAGGAGAGGCCTCCATCTGATCGGAACAGTTCTGACCTGGTTTGCTGAGACTCAGTCTGTAGATTAGACAAATAATTTCTGACGCCCCCAGAAGTCTCTCCGACTTCACAACAAATAATCACAAAACATGATAAAATGTCACAGCACCATTCTTTCTCTATGGCTGAGAGCTGAACAGTAATCAGTCTCACTTTCAATCCCTCTCTTTCTTTTGGTTTTAGCAGGTTTAATCTATGCATGCCTTTTGTATACAGTGATTGGTCTTGCCAAACTCTCAGCTACGCTTGTACGGAGAGCTATGGGTGCCATTGTTGCTGGCCATGGGACTGGTTGAAACAGACTTACTGCGAGAGCAGGTGGGACCATTAAAGTGTTTTTAATCTGGTAATCACCTGCACGTGCATTCACAGATATTTAAAAGAAGTCTGCATCTTACAAAAGAAGCATTTGTTTACTTGGGATGATTGTACTTTTACACATATCTACTCACACACAGAGGATGTGTTTAGCTGGGGATAAAACCATTGATATTCCAAGCAGGATGGTGGGACTGATCAATGCTGTATGGGGATTGGATAATTAATGGCATACTTTCATTGATCTGTCTTGAACCTTGCCACTCTCCCAGAATCCCTCTGAAGTAGGAGGAGGTGTGCAGAGCTCTAACAGACCTGGTTGGCACTCATTCCTAGGTTTCCACATTAACTTTTAAGATGATTTTCCTCTTTTAAGAACGAGATGGTGCCAGATTTAGACTTTTTTTTTTCCCAGGTCTGAGTCAATGTAACGCTCTCTTACCTCTCCCACTCTTCAGAGGAAGCTGTCACGATGATCTAGCTCTGTATTTGTTGGAGCCCTTTAACAGAAAATATAGTTAGTTATTAGTAAAGTTCTCAAATTGGCGAACTTATTTTTCTCCTCTCTCTCTTTCTCTCTCTCTCTCTTTCTCTCTCTCTCTTTCTATCTCTCTCTCTCTCTCTCTCTCTTTCTCTCTCTCTCTTTCTATCTCTCTCTCTCTCTCTCTCTCTCTCTTTCTCTCTCTTTCTCTCTCTCTCTTTCTCTCTCTTTCTCTCTGTCTTTTCTCTCTCTTTCTCTCTCTCTCTTTCTCTTTCTCTATCTCTCTCTCTCTCTCTTTCTCTCTCTCTCTCTCTCTCTCTTTCTCTCTCTCTGTCTCTGTCTTTTCTCTCTGTCTCTCTTTCAACTTGGCGCCGACCTCGTTAAACATTTTTCCTCGATCACTCTTAGTTTTTGTGCTAATGCATATTTGTAGCCTGTTGACACGGTCATTACTGACCCCTGAAACCTAGGAATGGGTGCTGAGCGCTCCAATGTAATGCAGAGCTAGCATTAAGACAAGTTGTTCAGCTTGACAGATTGAGTGGACTGATCAACCATTAAAAGCATATATGATGGCTCATAATAGAGGCTGTTACACAGTGAGTACCAAATTCCTCTCTGGTCGCAATACCATCCAGAATTATAACATTTAGATTTTGCAACGCGATGTGTGGATCCTTGGGTGTAAAGAACAGAAACTGTACATATTAGATATATTAGCCATACCATGTCATCAAATCTGTAGACCTCTTTGCCATGTCTGACAGAGAAAAATGACTGTTGAACTGTAAATAGTGTAGTTATAGTAATATAGGAATTAACTGCTGCTTCTTTTCTCCAGGGATCACCCATGTTTTGCTCAGTCCCATGGCTGCTTGGTCTCAAAGGGAAATATGAGACAATAATGTACTTGTCTATAAAACACATATTAGTTCTTTTTTTATTTCAATATATGTTTTATATACTGTCTGTCTTGTAAATGAACTCCTTTCATCATAAAAGCATGATGTGACTCTGTCAAAAGTGTCCTGTGTGTCTCTTCTCGTTACTGTGCTGTTTGGCGTATTCTCTCTCAATGCAAAGCACAAAGGAAATGGAGGACAAACTGAAAGCTGGAAAACATTTACATAAACTGCAGGTGGTGGTGAAACAGCTCCAAAATATCTTGGAAAACAAAAAAGGAAGAATTATTGTATTGTATAATTCCTTGTCAGTATAAAATGGTAAAGTATGCTGATATCTTTGTTTACTAACTGCCAAAACAGTATGACAATTAGTATACAGTAATGGCTTTGGGACAGAAGACTAATTAATAAAACTACTCATAGCTCTGTTCTGTTCAAGTGTCCCGGTAAGTCACAGCGTGACGGTGATTGCACAATACCAGGATCCTCAAACTGAATGGAATTCAACCATCATTCAATTCATTTTTACATCCGTGCTTTTCCTGCTGAGACATGCAGAGATTAGTAGTATTTCCTCACCAGAACAGCTCTCCTTGCTGTGTGGAAAAAGGCTTTGAAACAAGCTTTCAGTTATGAAAACTCAAAGTATTCTTCTATAATATTAATACGTTATGACTAAATTAGCACGATCAAATGTAAAGCTCAGGAAAAAAATTGCCTTATGAAGTAATTATTATATTTCACTGAAAAGTTAACTGAGTAAATATAATGTAAAAAAAATGTAAATTAATTCAAAAGAAATATATATATATGTATTGATTTTGATCGACAGACGTGGTGTTAGGTACATCAGTGTTTCTAAAATCCTGGCCATGGTCCTCATGCTGTACATTTCCTGGGCTTGATTGTCCACATATTTTTATTTAACACCACCAGATGGCAACAGAGCTCCACAGTCAGAAACCATCACACAGAAAGGAAGTAAGTCAGCCAATCGCTTGTTTCTTTATTTGTTTTAGTCAAAACACACAATTTAACCATACTGGCTTTCACTTGGTGCATTATTTGTCCCAGTTATTACTTGAGTCCACAGGCTGAAGGCAGACCAACGTGACTGTGTTGCTGGGAGGTGAAGATCAGAAGAAAGGCTCTCGTGTGTGTGTGCAGGCATTTGATCAACATCTTCGATTACACGTCCACTTAACGAGTCAGATCCCCCCCACCACCTACACCTACACCTCCATCGTGGCCGGGGGAGGGTCCCGGGTGCCTCAGCCCCCACAGTAAAGGTCACTCTGTAGAGGTTAAAGGTGACCACACACACACACACACACACACTGAGAGCCATCCTTCCTCCTCCCCTTCCATTTCTCCTGTCCAGTCATTTTCTCTGCCCTCCTCCATCACTCTCTTTCTCTCTCTCCTTCTTCTTCTTTTTTGTCTCTGCTCTATTTGAAATTGATTGTCTTCTACCATCACAAAGACACTTGGTTCTGATTGATTGGTAAGGGAAGAGGGAGAGAACATCGACACTGGGTCTTCAACAACTCTGAGGTCTGTCAGAAGGAAAAAGCAAATGACGCCATTTTGAAGCACTGAAGGAAACCCGCATTTCAGCTGTCTGTTTGTTTATGTTTCTACAAAAGCAGACAAACACACTGGCTGGTCGAATTTAGATTAAATACGGATAAGCGGAAACACAGGAACAAAACAGAGAAACTCACTCTCACCTGTGTGACGAGACAAAGGGCGGCTACAGACGGTGTGGAGACTATTTCCACACAAATGGAAGGGTTACAACAGGAGGACAGACGCACAGCGATGAAGCTGATACACGTACAAATACACACTTCTTTTTTAACAAGTACATAAATAGCACATAAAAGACATAGAGCTAAAAAAAGAACGTACCTGGAAACTAAGCTCAGTTGTTTTTTTCCCTGTTTCTCCCCCTCTTCATTCATCCTGCAGTTTATATACACATATATAGTATCCATGCATAAAAGAATCGCTCATCCCAACCATAATGACAGAGGTGCTTTGGTTGGTTCTCTTTTTTTAATATGGGAATCACTTTTACACACTTCGGAAACAATCAAACACAAAATAAGCCAAAAAGTGATGCAAAACAGAAATGAGTACGTCTTTTATGTGTCATTTTCACGTTGATCTTGAACAATTTTCTCCATTCCTTCATTTATATTCATAATCATTCGTCACTGATTTCTTTGTCCTCTTCTGCTACATCATCATAGATATTATGTCCTTTCCTACCTGATCAAGTATTCATACTCCTCCTTTCAATGTTTCTCCTAACTCCAAAAAGGAAAACGTGCAAACCTACAGACAATAAATTAACCAACTCAAAAAGATGTCAAACTATAAGACGGCTTATACTGCACACACTCCTTCAAACAAATCTTTTAAAAACGAACAATCATTTTTGCTGTGACTTTAATGCCACTCCCATAGCTAAACATTGTCATTATTGTTTCACTACATTAACCTTTACAATAAAGATTTGAGGTATATCAAGATGAATTGTCTACACATGCCTGCCTTGTTGTGATGCTACCCTGGACGGAGGGACCAGTAAAGAGGGTTTGGATGGGTGGGGGTCACTGGCGGGCTTCATGTGTCTTTTGGAGCTGTTAGGTCTCATCATTTCTGTACTGATTGAGCATCGGTTGGTTAATACAAAGGTTAAAGTTTTAGATGCGAGCCAATGAGAGACTGGGGTTAGAGGGCTTTGTAAACAATCGGAGACACACACACACATACACTCGAGTTACAAATTACACAAAAATATCTCTGGTGGGAGTGTGTGTGCATGTGTGTATCGTGGAGAGGACTCTGTGAGATGACATCGTCTCACCAGCATGTAAAAACGTATTAAAAAAACAAAACGGTGGCGGTAATCAATATATTTCCTTCCTTGTGGGAAAAATTAGAAACAAAAGTGTGTTTTCATGTCATGAGGACCCGCTCCTGTGTTGCTCCCCCTTCGCCCACTGTGTGCCCCCCTTCACCCTAAACACTGTGTGTGTTTATGTGTGTGTGTGTATGGGTGTGTGTGTGTGTGTATGGGTGTGTGTGTGTGTGTGTGTGTGTGTGTGTGTGTGTGTGTGTGTGTG